ATATCACTTACAATCATTCCAGTTAACCAGCTACAAAACAACGATCGCTGCTGACGAAAGCATCACTGAATACGTCTACATCGACTCTACAATCGGAAGACACACCATATTCTTTATATTCTGGGACCCTGATCGAAACAAAAACGTGGAGGTCGTCATTAGCTCGCCAGATGGCAGTACCATAGATGAAGAGACGGGTCAATACTTTAAAGATAAAGACATACATACCATTATGATCATCATTAATGGCATTGCACAGGTAATCAATTATAAGTAATTTGCATAAACCTAAGTGTATATTTTTACTGAGAGCAAAAAAGATGTTAAAAATTAAAGCGCCGCGGTGGTCGTCGAGCTGCGCATATGCGACATTTGTATATTAATATTTATTTATTTTCCCATAATCCAATGCGCTCTTGAAATGAAAATCACAAGTATGAAGTTTGACCTGGTCGCGACTTGCACTGATTACTGCCGGTGATTCTTTCGATACCTTCCAATCACCTGAACATTACCTAATTAAAGCTTGGAAACGTCTCAGTTCATACTCTCGTACTCGTTGATCTGCGCAACAGTCAAAGTCGCCATCTTTGTTTATATGAGACCCATATATCCCGCGCATGCGTGGCGCGGCAACTACTGCCCTTTATATGAGTAATACAAGATACAAATGTAAGTAAATTCATCGACTGGATAAAAAAAGAATATGAAACTGGGTCAAGCTACAAAAGAAATCAAAATGTTCGCTGTATGACGTAGATTGTAATTGAATTAAGGGGTGGACCATTGTTTTTTAGTATTTCCCCTTTGAACGATTTTTTTTCAATGACTTTTTCTTGTGTATTTTTTATGACGACACATAAAATACATTGATAAGTACATTGTTTTTCAGTCAGGACAGTGGACATATACTATTACTAACGTCGATTCAAAAGATCAAACCGTTGAAGTTTCCATCGAATCGAAGTCTATTGATTCCAGTTCATATCCACTGCGTTTGCAATCAACTATTGGGAATGAAATAATTACAGAATCACCACCTCTAGTAATTATATACGCCGAGGTATTGAGGGGTTACGGACAAGTCCTCGACGCAAATGTCGTTGCCACTGTTGAGAGACCGTCTCCCTACGAATCAATCGAGCTAAGACTATTGGACAATGGTGTAGGCAAGTAATGAACAAAGTTGATAATTGACTAGGTCCATCATGAAAACGTAGTTTCGATTTCTCTGTATGTCGTTAATCAATTTAACATCGCTATATTTTAGGGCGGAAGAAACAAGGCGGAGCGACACACGAGTGAATTACTACTGCACCCCATACCACACATATTCATTGGCGTATACTATGATTGTAATTGTGATTTTAACTGTTACGTCATTGCGACACTCACCACAATCGACTGAATTATTAAATTACGTAACAGGTGCCGATATCACAAAGGACGATGGGACATATTCAGCATACTTTCTAGATTTCGTCAATGCGATGTGTATCGACGATTGTCGGTATTCGATACAGATCAACGCAGACGACGAAGACGGTACGGCTAGTACTAGAACTGTCGTCAACACAGGGGCCCTGCCAATAAACTATGGTAAGCACGTCATATCATATCACCAATTATTCTTGACAACAATCATTTTTTTTTGTTCCGCGTGAGGCGATACAGTTAACGCCAAATTGTGTGGATTGGTTCGCCGCACCACCTCAAAAGACTACATATCATTTCCTATGTATATTGCAAGTAACAATATTTCGTACTTTGCAAACGTAATGCTGCGCACATCAAGTCACACTTAGTTTAGAGACAAATGATCACTCCTTCATTTACTTGCATAATTGTATTGAGACAAAATTGTTTATTCCAATGGGTTCGCCCTCTTACATGTAGTTGATTCCATGCTATATCATAACACGAACGTTTTTTCTATTAGATGCAATTCCCATGAAAAGTGATCCTGTTCCCATTGGAGATTTTGAAAGAGTTACTTCTGGTGGATCCATTCAGGTTGACGATAGTGTACACATTCCTGGCGAAGATGAGGATCCCTACCCACCATCACGAATATCCGATCTAGAAAGCCCTTCATCAGACTATGACGAGCAAACCATAACACTACACTGGACTGCAGTTGGCGATGATCTCGACCAAGGAACAGGTACGCAACTAAAAATTACCACCTGTATTTCATGTTATTATTAGTAATTTCTATTCGACAAGGCGTTTAAAAATTTCCATTTCCTTACAGCTGACTTTTATGAGCTTAGATATTCGACATCGTTTAGCGTAGTTTTCGATACGTTCGAGGAAGCCACAGAAGTCACCGATGATGATCTTGTCACTGGCAATTTAGATGCGCCGTTACAGTCTGGCTCCCTGGAAACATTCACGGTGGTACTTCCGACGAAAGGTAATGGTACAACGTATTACTTCGCTGTACGCGCCGTGGACGATGCAGACAACAAGGGTGAAATTTCAACGGTTGCCCAGAATACCATCGTACCTATTCCTTCTAGTGGGCTGGCTTGGTGGGAAATATTTCTTATTGTCCTTGCGATCGTCCTAGCTGTTAGCGTCGTTGTTTTCATTGTGTTATACGCGTATTTCGAAAAGCAAAAAAAACAAAAGGTAGGACTAGAAGAAGCGAACTACGCATAAACTAAACAAAATCAACTGTTTCTATGGTTATTTGTTTAATTATGATATGCAGATTTACATAATATAAGAAACTTAGTTAATAACTCCTAGACATTAGATGCTATCTCACAGTTTAAAATGTACATCATCATATATTTATGTGTGTACATAATATGTATTTCATTTCAGACCCTAGAGATATCATACAATTAATGTTCATCTGTCAGTTTGTTATGGGTTTATAATATTGTAATACCCATGTTCTCTTGACCATATCCTGTCAGTAAATTGATTCAATATACCCATGGCTATATACACAGGTTAACAATACAACAGTATGCCACACTGGTTTTCCAGTAAGTCGAGTTGTTTTTCTTGAATATTGTGCACACATCAATGTTAAATGAATGATATAATTATAGTGCATTTTGCCCTTAGAGTTTTACACATTATACGGGTTGAATATTATGGTCGAGCTAATTGTCTCTTCATGCAACAATCATATATTTACAGACTTTTTTAAAACGTAGGGTGTATCAACCCCGATTTCAGGTATTGCGATTGTTTTATTTGTTCATTTACTGTTTGTATTGTAGTTACACATTTTGTAATTCACATTCTGATTTATCATTTTGATGACAGAATATAATTTTGTAAACAAATTAAATAATAAAATTTAATATTGTGAAAGGAATTATATGTGTTGAGCATATTTATATTACCATTGATGTGACAAGAGAAGACACGACGTGCGGTTGGTCCGAACACCAAGGTATTGTAAACATAGTCTATCTCATTATATTGATATGAAAAGGAGCTTCGTGTTCATGAATCGGGGAATTTTGTCTTGCTTGGCTGGCACTTACACGTAGAGATACCAGATTCGACCCAAATGAACACACATTAGTTCATTAAAGAAAGTCCAGCTTTATTCTTCCCATTGCTCTCCTTCTCTCCCCCTATCTTCTCTTTCTTCTCTCCTCTCTCTCTCTCTCTTACAAAAGGTTACAAACTCTCTATCTTTAAGTTAAAAGTCAAGTCTCTAAGGCGAGTAAACATGCGATCAGCCAATCGCTGTAATCGTTGGCACGATCACGTAATTATCAGGGATGTGTCTCACGGTGCCTTGCAAAGTTGCCATTACTAAATACAAATTTTGTAAATTTTTCTTAAAAGTAAATTGGAAATCATCAAACGTAGCATGCTTGATGGAATTGGGTCGCTACCCTCTCATTGTTACTAGTACAATTCATATGGTAAAATATTGGATCAAAATATCACAGAAGCCAGTATACACACTTCCAAATGAGGCGTATAGACTAGGTATTGGACTAGACAAAACTGGCACACCAAACAAGGTGTCAAGCATCAAATAAACTTTAAACTTGGTGAACAAGGATGACATCTGGAAAAGCCACGAGCCTGAAACCAATAACAAACTTATTACTGCTGTCAAGGAGAACATAAAACAGGTATTTCAAAGTCACTGTGATAAACTTCTATTCGATGACAAAAAGGAGGCAATCATAGAATCAACCTACGCACTTTTAGATTGAACTCGTAAGTTATCTTGAAATAGTCAAAAATCCATTCCGTAGGTCAGCATTGTCAAAATTAAGGATAAGTGCACATACTCTACAAATTGAGAAGGACAGATACACAAACCACGCCTTACAAGAAAGAAAATGTCAGAATGGAGAGATTGAGAATGAAGAACATTTCCTCCTAACGTGTTTACACCATCATGCATTAAGAAAAGACTGCATAAACAAATTTCTTGCAAGACCGACTAATCAAAATAAAGAAGAAAAACTAGTAAATATACTTAAAAACAAAAGACAAAAATATGTTAATAAATTTATTAAAATTTATTATAAATCTGTAACCGTAAGTTACAGCGTGCCGTAATTTTGAGGTACTATTTTACGGGATATTTTCATCCTACTATATAAGGAAATGCGAGTTCCAAATATGGAATGAATACGCGCGCAAGCGTTCTCTAATAATAAAAATACATAATAATAATAATATGGCTGCCACCACGGTTTGACCGGACTCCACACAAAGTTCACTAATTCCTTCTAAACTTTTTGGATTTCGGCATATATGTTTATAATCTCCACTCTAAACATGCAAGTTGTTGATTCTAAACAATAGTGCAACGGCGCGTGAATCAAATGTGCAAACATAAAGTCGCTACCATAACACTATATAGGAGTGCTCGCGAAGGTGAGCACGTACCCAGATGTGAGAATAACTGACAATACCGTCACTTTAATGGTCATTGAACAATCACGTCGTGATCCATTCAACCTCTCAATCCAAAACCAGACACAACATGCCGTTCCAGAATCGCAGACATCTCACAATAAGTATATACCGGCCTACCTATTATAATGGTTCATTACAGACTTGTACTTTGGATTCTCCAACCCTTATTTGATTCGCAAGCTAACACTGAGCTATGTACTGTACATGTCTATCACTTTGTGCTCTTAGACTGTTATACGGATTATGACAGGCATTAGGTAACATTTGACATTTCTGCTTCTCCAATATAACAATCTCTAGCACTTATGTGTTGGGTAGGGACAAAGTAGGTCACATGTGTCAGTGAGACATTGTTCGACTAAGTTTGACCTGACAATGCACTAGCTTATAGAAGGTCTCACATTACCCCGTCCGACCCCCCCCCACATCACTAGTGGGACCAGTGCAGTAAAGCCAGACAATACATGGTAACAAAGACACGTGGGATACATAACGGTCAATATATAGAAAAAATACACACATACACTTTTTTTTTCAAATGGGATGAAATGAAAGCTGTATGTAATCGTGTTAGCCATTGACACAATATTTGCAAAATTTGAATAAAAGCCCATAAATACACGGTTTCCCTGGTTACAAGACTTGTCAGCAAATCAAATAAGTTTAGCGTTGAATTATTAAAGTAGTGAAAACTGCTAGGACCGATAAATATAATATACAGAAAATGGTGTTAGGTAACGGTAGTACTTGATTCCTTTCTCGGTGATAGATATTTAATAGAGTCATATATCCTATAAAAAAGTACGCTTACGATTACCTGTTTTTTTACATTTATGTTCATCACTGTGCGTTTACATATACGTAATGCTATGGTTACAAATTCGACAACAATAACAAAGATAATAACATCGACATGACCTTTATGACCCGGGGTGCCAATCCTTGATTGCCCAATTGATCTTTAAATTACTGTCTTCGTATGTAGTATATCGTATTTTTAGACAAATAACTGCCTTCGATGGATTGTACATCGTGTACAAAGACACCCCCGGAACAAATAATTATATATAACGACACCCGTAAGCAGCAGCAATTTCAGTGGGGCATACCAGACACAACAAGTCATCAGTTTGTAGAAAGAAGAACCAGCGATATCGTGGTAACACAATGATGCGAGCCAGTGTTATTTTTTTATTCTATTTTGCAATTTTTGTTCACTGTCGTAATCCCGTTTATTTGGAAAATAATGGATACGGCACAGTACTGGTGGCGATACATGAAAGCATTGAGGAAGATCCTCTGTTGATTGAGCGAATCAAGGTGAGTAGCGTTCTAGGATTTTGTGTACACATACGTACATCAACGATAAGTATGATTGCAAATCTATTTTTAACATGATTCCATGGAAACAGCAACAGTGTTCAGCCGATAGTATTCCGATCGTATAACTAGTGAGTATCACAGTGAAATCTACATTTCAGGTTTTCAGTGTTGCTTGTGCGTGTTTGCTGGTCACTATGAATGGTTTCAATAATGAAGACCATATACTTCTTTGTTGTCCCACAGTCCCTCTATCTATATATGGCATACACTGTTTAGTGTTTTCTACGTTCACAATCTGGCATCAAGATCGCACACATCGTGGGCTGAAAAAATATGATTTTAGGGTACTTCAGAGTTACCGGCATTGTTTGATGAGTATTGATTGAACAGTGGCCTGCTGTGAGTATGCGCAGTGGTTTGTATGAAATTAACTCGTGATTTAATACTTATTATTAAACCAGTAATATAAGACCATGAGTTCTTACATACAAATAATATTAAATTAAAGAATGCACGCCGTTTGAAATTAAACTAAAGTATTATGTCCCTTTCTTGAAAATCAAACTAGATATGTCAACTCAGCTATTAAATAAGTTATTATTTTCAGCTGACGTTAGTTTTATAAATTAGTATAATACAAGTATTATGGTATCATTTTTTCTGTATATTTTTACACACTAAGCGAATAAGTGTTAGACGATGGGGGAATTTCCCGCCTACTGTGACCCATGGCAACGCACTGTTTATAAATCTACGTCACCCAGGCAACGTGGGGATGGTCACAACTATTTTGTCGGCACGAAACTATAGTTGCTAGGAGTGTTCCTCCAAAGTACTTGATATAAACGATAACGTAATGTCATTAATTATATAAAACACAGCACCAAACGCTACAGTAACATATATAACAATGCTTGTGTACCACCTTCCAATAGGTTCAGTTGTGCAATCTAACATCGATGAAACATTTCAAATTTTAATTATTTCATCAACATATTAAGCAAAACTTTTTTTTCTTCAATCGATTGTAAGTTTGCACAAGTAGTGCTCAATTTTGCACTCATTCAATTACAGTTTTATCCAGCACCAAGTTGGAACCGAGACGTTATTCATATTGTTTATAGTTTTGACCAATACTATTAACTATCAAACTGTGTATATACGATGATTTCTTAATTCCTTCAATACAAATTATTAAAGTTTTTATTGTTTGACCACGATACAACAATTAATAGACATTTTATTTTCCCGATTAAATAATATTCTAAATGTGAAATCAAATACTAAATCAGGATGATCTTTTTCGGTTCTACTGAAACAACTCACAATAATATTATTGTGCAGCTATATTACTGTACTTATTTATTATGCATACTTATTATGCATACTTATTATGCATACTTATTATGCATACTTATTATGCATACTTATTATGCATACTTATTATGCATACTTTTTTGTATCCTCCTAATAACCTCATATTATCATCTTGAAGGTATTATATGTACACTATCGCTATTAATCAAAACTAATAATCATTATGTAAAAATGTATATTATTTAATTATGTATAAAATTATAATTTTTTGCAGGAAATATTTACAAGCGCATCTTCACATCTTCATGTTGCCACTAAATACTACACGTACTATGACAGTATAACAATCCTCATACCAAAGACTTGGAGCGATGACCTGAAACAAGCTGCAGCGACTACGGAAAGATTTGATCTGGCTAACTTCATAGTAGACCAACCGAGTTCAATTCACGGCAATAACCCTTATACGAAACAGTTTCTTAAATGTGGAGAACCGGGGTTGTATGTTCATCTGACGGAACGGTGGATCAAAGACGAGGAGTACAGCTGGGCTTTTTGGGGTGACCCAGGTAAGCTATATGCGATTGCCAAAGGATCATAGAGGCAAATGGCCGTCGAGATCTCGTTGAGCGCGATAGAGCAGCGAGACTTGTTTCTACCCCTTAAATGGTACCATAATCTCCTCCATCATCGCGTCCACTGTTCCCTGTACCTATATGTAACCACGATATCGTGAACACTGTAGACACTGTTAAGTGACAAAAAATAAGTCTCGTGGCGGTCACGCTCTCGCTCTCCGCGAAATTTTGACAGTCATTTGCGTCTATGTTATAGACATTTTTAGCAATGATTATCTGGTATTTGCAGGAAAGGTGATTGTACACGAATGGGCCCACTTACGATGGGGTGTGTATGATGAGTACCCTACACAAGATAACGAGCATTTCTATTATGACGAGAACGGTCACGTGCAACCAACCAGATGTTCCGAGGCAGTAACTGGTCAATCGTTTGATATATACAGCAGAGGGAAAGAGTGTAACACAAACCCATCAGACGGCGTCATGCCGAGTTCTGGATGCAGATTCATCCCAGATCTAGAGGACAACGTTGCCACGGGATCGTATATGTATACAAGCGCGATTGAATCGGTGAGTGACATTCCATATTCACTTCGATGAATCAGCTGTGAATAGATGATAGATGTCAAATTAGGTCTCGATCATTTGAAATCATGTGGGATGAGCGGAATATTGGTTTAAAAACTAATTGCAAGCTAGGCACGCAAAGATTTTCAGGGAAAAATATTGGCACATTCAAGACAAATGAAATGTACAGATAAGACAACGTGAAATAAATGCAATAGTCACACTCTTCCAGCAACCCCCCATGCTTTCAAATGTTTGACCCCTTACGAAGATTAATTATATCAAAGGTTAGTTGGTTATCACTCAGGTCACATAAGGTTATCATGACTGATAGTTGCATTCAGTAGCGTGGTGTCTTCCAGTCAATGTGGAAAATGGCACACAAATCCTTCATAATCATATTGTAATCATTATTATATTGAATATATCAGATGGTGACGTTTTGCCACAATGATGCCGAAGATTCTAAGTCAAGACACAATCGCTTAGCTCGAAACAAACATAACAAACAATGTTGCTACCAGAGTGTATGGGAAGTAATGCTACAACACACCGACTTTGAAGAAGGAGACAAACCAGCTGTCGATATCAATGTGATGCCGTCGTTCTTGGTTGTGCAAGAAACTGAACTGAGAATCGTTCTTGTGCTGGATATATCGGGGAGTATGGATAGGGTAAGTACTGGAGTTTTCAAGATGTATGTAGTATTATGCACACTCTGCATTACGTAGATGGAGATAGATCTACAAGAAAGTCAAAAGGAAAATTCACTCATATACAGACTTTGGCAATTCACTTACATACTTCATATTCATTGGTATTTACCACGTATATTTAGTGAAATCCAACATTACAACGTGATGTAAACGGCATCTAACTAAACTCATCCATTCAACCAAAGCATACGTGGCGATCCTGTAATACTCTCGACTTTGGCATTATTGGCAATTGATAACAGATCGAGTGTGCGTGGTGACCGTATTGGTGGGGACTATACAAATGCTAACACTGACAGTTTTTTTTCTCCAAATAAAATTATACAAATTATTCGACAAAGATACTGCGCGCTTGTGGAGCGATATAATTATGAATTTGGTGTTTGAACTTGTTTCAACTTGTTTGAAGTTTTTTTCACAAACTATTTGTGCTCGCCAGTCTTTAGCGATTTCCGTCTATCGTGGATTTTCCCCAGGTATTTTAATATGTTTTTCGTTGATTGCTTGCCATATATCCCCTTTTATGAGTGATGAATGTGGATACTTGTAATATGACTCATGAATTGCAAATTAACATTCTATCAGAGTTCGGAAATATAAAATATGATTTCACACTTCACACAATTCCAACAAATATATTTTTATTATTGTAGTTAATCCGTTCTACATTAACTCTGTTTTTACAGAACGATCGATTTGAGTTAATGATACAGGCAAGTACCAAATATATAGGCTACACTGTACCCAGGGGTACATGGATTGGTATCGTAGAATTCGACAACACGGCTTCTATTTTGTCTTATCTTATACAAATCGATGACATGGAAACTAGACAAGAGTTAATTGACCTGTTACCTGACGGCACTGGTAGTGGCACTAGCATCGGGAGTGGTCTGGAAGCTGGGATCGAAGTGAGTGTTATTATTGAGAGATCAGTTGTACTATTATTTAATGTACGCATTGACTTTTTCAACAACATACAGATTCACAATTCGTAATACGCAATGTAAATGTATGAATAATACGTTCAATTGGGTGAAAAAAGTAAGTATTTTAGTTTCGTCATTCAACTTGCTGTTTCTTAACGCAATATTTTGCCTTAAAAAATATTGATCAGATAGAGCCATGAAATTGACTTGACTATCTCTGCCGTTCTTCCAAAAAACTCCTTTGAAATCCAGATTGTGATTATAATACCCAACAGTTGTACCACTGTACCGTAGATGTGATGAATGTTTTAAGAAAATGTACGCTATAAATGATATTGTCATGACAATTAATAATATTTTGTCACCAGGTATTAGAAGAAGGTTGGGAGACTCCTGCTGGTGGAATTCTGTTTTTAATAACAGATGGTGAAGAAAATACTCCACCGTTCATTGATGACGTAATCGATGAACTTGTTGAAAAAGAAATTGTAGTTGACACCCTTGCTCTGAGTGACGAAGCCGATCCTGGTTTGGCCGAACTGTCAGCAGAGACTGGTGGAACGGCTTATTGGTATTCAGAAAGTGACGACTCAACAGCACTGCATGACGCTTTTACGGACACCATAACTAGCCGAACCAGTTCCAGTACAGACACGCCGGTACAGGTCAGTACAATACAGTAGTCTCATGCGAACATAGTAGTTATCTTGTATTACATAAATGACTATCATGGAAATGTTTTGACATGGTAGCGTAGTTGTTGCTGTATCAATCTCAATTTTAAACAATATTGCATAATTGATTATTGTTATTCCAGTTAACCAGTTATAAGACTAGCATCGATGCTGGCGATATCCTGAGTGAATACATCTACATCGATCCTACCATTGGAAGACACACAGTTTTCTTTATATTTTGGGATTTCAGTGGAAACATACCCGTGGATGTTGTCATTAAGGCTCCGGATGGCACTATTATTGTAGATGGAGACAGCGGTGAATACTATAGAGATGATAGCACTCATACCATTATTATTACAATTAATGGTGTTGCCCAGGTAATATGTAGTACACATTGTTTTATACATAGTAGTGTGTGTTATCTACGCCATGCATGGACTGCTTCATTCAGAAAAGATCTTCTAGCTTGTTTTTACAATCGGAAAAAGTTGATCTAACAAATGACACTGTACAATGCCGCATATACATAGATATATCTATATATCTGTTATGCTTCAGTTTATTCAACGCAATTTCGCTTTTAACTTATGTCTTCTATATGTTCTTCAATACGTTTCAGTTAGTTTAGTAGACTTGTTAATACATGCAGTAACAATGTTATAATTATTGTAAAATCTGCTGACTTACCGTAACTGTATGTGTCCAATCTTTCAGTCTGGACAGTGGACATATGATATTACAAACACTGATACAGATGATCAAACCGTTGAAGTTTCCATCGAATCTAAATCTGTGGATTCCAGTTCCTATCCACTACGTTTGCAATCTACTGTGGGGAGTGAATTGATTACAGAATCACCACCTCTAGTAGTTATATACGCCGAGGTATTGAGGGGTTATGAGCAAGTCCTTGGAGCAAATGTCATTGCTACAATTGAGAGACCGAGTCCATTCCAATCGATCGACCTAACACTGTTGGATAATGGTGCAGGCAAGTATTACGTTATTATTATCACCAAACAAATTGTATTTACAGCTAGTATAAGATTACGTTGACTTTGAAAATATATGCGTACCACCGATTCAATGTAATTACTGCAACCTTAATACCTTTGATATACCAACTGAATAAAAACCAAATTACATACATGCTTTACATATCGTAACCTAGGGTCTGATATCACAAAAGACGATGGAGTATACTCCGCTTATTTCATCGAATTTGTCGATGCCAATTGTGAGCAAGCTTGTCGCTATGGGATACAGGTTAACTCAGATAATACGGATGGCGAGGCTTACACCAAAACCACATCATCCACCGGAGCTATGCCGACTGACTATGGTGAGCAGAATATCAACTCACATTCAAGATAGACATATTTCAAAAGCTCTTGATTTATTTGTTATAAAATAAGTATTAAATAAATATACCTATACTTTAATGTATGTTCAACAGGTGCAATTCCCGTTGAGGGCGACCCTAATCTAATTGGGGATTTTGGTAGAGTGACTTCTGGAGGATCCTTCCAGGTTGACGATAGCGTCCACATTCCTGGTATAGGTGATGATCCCTACCCACCATCGAGAATATCCGATCTAGAAAGCCCTACATCGGACTATGACGAGCAAACCATAACACTACATTGGACTGCAGTGGGCGATGACCTCGACCAAGGAACAGGTATGCAACTATTAATTATTAAGTTACCGTGCACTGCATTAGATATACAATTATGGCACTAGTAATTATTGTATAACTAGTATTTGTTGTGCTATATATATTCAATATTTATCAATAGAAAGTATTTGTTTTTGAAAAAATAAACATAGGTAATGATTTATTCTAGCCATTACGATTGTCACCATTTACCATTTCAGCTCACTACTATGACCTTAGATATTCTACGTCATTCAGTGATATTTTGGATAATTTTGAAAATGCTATACAGATCACCAACAAAGACTTGATCTCCGGCGATGTATTGTCTCCATCACCTTCTGGTTCCTCAGAAAACGTTACAGTTTGGCTTGCAACGAGCGGAACTGGCACAACGTATTACTTTGGTGTACGTGCAGTGGATGAAGCAAACAACAAGGGCGATGTTTCAACGATAGCTCAGAACACAATAGTGCCGATTCCTTCGAGTGGGTTGGCAGGGTGGGAGATATTTCTCATCTGCTTAGCATGTATTACTGTTATAGCCGTAGCTGTTTGTGCCATCTTATACATGTATTGGCAACACAAAGAGAACACTAAAGTTGGCGTGGCAGACAAGGCATAAATGAGTTTCTAATTATTCGGTCTAGATCTTTCCTTAACTAATTGATAATACTAATCAAATTATTAAGTAAGATTAACATTATTACGGTACACAGATTTCAAGTAAATATTTATATGTGCAGAGCATCTATGTACCAAGCCAAGTGTAACTAAAGCCTTATTAGTGAATCTTGACGTATCAGCGCTAGCGGAACAGAAATACGCACACAAATGCACATACGCACGCACACACATGGGTAACTGCAACGAACTCACATTTTGTGTTCCAAATGAGGAGGGATACCGTACCACATGATATCAATGAATCTGTGGTCACTTATCAGTTCTTAAAATAGCTTCATAATTTTAAAAACTAAAATATATAACCGTTTTGAAAGATGAACATGACATTATTTTGATAATTTTTCATGTATATTTCCCCGTTTTGTAACTATGTAGTGTATGTATTTTGACAGCATAAATTTTAGATATATTTTAGTGCTGGTATAGTTTTTTGCACATAATGAAGATCGAGTAGTACATGCCATCTGATGATGGTAATCATTTTGATTTTGAACAGATATTATACAAAAGTCCACCCCAACAGAGACTCAGTTTCAATGCGTCACTTGGGCTCATTGCACTATTTTGCATCAGTTGACAATCTCCTCTGAGGGTCACTAACATTGTATGTTCACTGCTGTTGGGTTTAAAATTTGTTTTACGTCGAATAAAACACAGAATGTAACACTCTGTTAGATGGCATCCTGGTACCAAGTTTCAAACAGAACTGGATGCATTGCACAAATATATAATTTGAATGATTTCTTGAGCAGTGACTGATTTGTATTATTTTATCAGAGGTTTGGCAAGGTGGAGCTACATCATATTAGCTCCGTGAATAAATGTTGTTTATCTGTTATTGTTTATGTACGGTCTGATGTGGTTTTACTAACAGTAAAAGTACGGCTACGAAGTCGAGAACGGTAGGTAACGGCCTGTTTGGAGTCGAGGTTCTAGTAAACGTTCAAGGCCTGCAAAGATACATCACTTGCCTGAATGGAACGTTGACATTTGTTTCTTGTCCAATCATATTTTATGATAAATAAGCCTGTGAATCCAAAATTTAATATTCACGGTGCATAATGTATTACATATATTTTGATCACAGTGCGTTCACACGGAGTAGATCATTTGGTATAAATAATGGTCAAGATGGCCTAATATTAAGTCTTGGTTCGCTCCACACATGTACAATGTATTATAAACATATTAATAATATTTGTAATATAATCCGAGATGCTTAAGTACAATATGGTCTATGAACTGAGTATGTGTATGCACATCTTGGCGTGGAGTTTATGGGAACCCAGCACGGCGGCTATGGAGGAACCGTTATAAATGTTTCTTCAAGCAACGGCGATGAAACAAGGGAAATCCCTGGTTGTTTTCGCATGTACAGTAACAACCACTGCACATGCATATATTAGTGGTTTTGACTTGTCATCTAAAATTTAATGTTGTGTGTTCTACAAAAAGTGTAATTTTTTTAGTTTATGATAAAGCGTAATCCGATTCAGTCTACAGTATGGAGTATCAGTCTCAAAACTGTTGGCACCAATGTTTGCAATAAACATAATGCACGCTTTTTGTAGGCAACAATACATTGGCAACATGTAGGCTTTTCTGTTTATTCTAGCTTCTCATCGAACAGTGAATAGACACAAGCGAAACACAGTGTTTGTGAACTTCCATCATGTACCTTCAAATACTAAAATCAGTTCGATTCGAATCTTACCCCAACATAAATATAATATAATATTTGCTTAGTATATGAAGTTGTTGGTTAGTATCATACTGAAAAATATTGTAACTACGAGTTCAAACTAATCATATCTATGCGGTTGTTGTTATGCCATTCGTGTTGTATTGTTTATCCATAATTGCAAAGAGTAATGGGATCGTTGGTGGCGCTCGACCACAAATACAATTTCTTGAAGGATCTCTCGGACGGAGGGTGAGTTGCATGTAGTATTGTCGTAAAACGATAGAACATTTAGACCAATATAACTTTACAGAGAAATGAATTATGTGGTAATACTAACTTAACTATGACTCGAATTCTTTTGCTACCCTCTAATGCAAAACACTATTCGCTTATTGTCAAATAAAACTAATATAATATAGTGAATATAGCGATCTTTTTTGTTCTTTTCTCTCCCCTTGGTTGCATGTAAAGTTAAAAATTTGTGAAATAAATTAAAACAAACGTGAAACGAAAACAACGTTACATCAAGACAAACAGTGACAAGGTGCTAAGAAAGGTTGAGATGAGATTAAGCTCACACAATGGCGATGTGACAGGCACGCTACCTGGTACACGATGCCTGTCATTGGCTTCCGAGTTATTCATGAATATTCATTATGTGGATGTTGTGCATAGTTCATACCTGCCACAATTGCAGTATGCACATTTATGAGAACAATGACTACAAATTCAAACAAAATTTCAACGCCGCCACGTGCACGTGTACTGAATTCACTCGCAGTATAATAAACGTTCCTGGGTTTTTATAACATTTCATTTGACAATGTGTGTCTGCAATTGGAAATAAACTTAGATAAATTAAGTTATCACCACGAAATGAACGCATCGGATAGACAGAAAGTACCAAGTTTGAAAAACAGCTTCTCATGTACAAAAGAAATCCGTGTTTGGAACGTCGGAAATATTTGATCATGTATTATAACATTAAAATGGCCGCAATTGGCCCTCTTGACCTCACGTGCATGTGCACACTTGTGACACCACGTATAGTTAGAACATAGTTGAATTCATAGTTAAATCTGCCAAAAATATAGATCTGGAACAGTATTCACTAAATCAAAATGACCACCATTCAGCCATTTTGAACCTGATCTGAAAATAATGTACAGCAAAGTCACACAATGCCCGACGCATGTATACAATTATATCAATATATCAATCCATACACGACCGAGATCCAGGATTGCAGAAATGCTTTAGATGGAATTTTAACGTTAAAATGCCACTTGATCGTCAAAAAATGATGATGTGTGTAAAGTTTAAACATGGCCTGTCAGGGCATGTCAGAGATATAGCCATGGATACCAATTTGTTAAAACAAAATTGCCCGGCACCAGTCGGCCATTTTGAATCACGTAAATCAGCGTCCCATACTGTTCAATCAATGTACATAGTGAAACATATGTCTATGTACGACCGAGATTCAGACCCTCAATTGCTGAAATACTTGATATTTTTTACCATAACACGGTCGTCATTAAGCCATTCACTAAACTAATAGATGTACATGTGTGTAGTATGATGATGAATATATAGAGTTTGAACAAGACATGTGAGGGAATAACTTTCGTTAAACCAAAATGATAAAAAATGATAAACTCAACAATTAACCTTCAAGCAAATTCCGTGAACTGTTGAAACAAGTGCATCCCAACTAAAAGAAACAGAGACAGACTTGGCAATTCTCCACAATAAGATCGACTCCAAAACCAAATTTGCCGCATATTTTCGAAATTTCGGAGCTAAGAAAATGCCACAAAACCGTCTGTAAGAATCGAGATTTAAATCCATACATTATCACGAACAAATGTTTTGAAGATAGATAAACGGTTTTTGCTTAACAGTCCCCTGAAAAAAAGTTCATGAAAAACATAGAGAAAATTCCTGCCAGTCTTCAGAAGACACCCACACAATAAATGGTAATACGATACACAAGCATAAAACTAATGGAGTTCACGAAATATCACGATTTCGAAACGTCAAATGGTTTTTATTATAGCCGAAATTGATATACAGAAGAAAATAAATAACAGGTTGCTGCATATGCGGTAATGTTGCTAGGAACACATCTGTTTGCATTCCAAGTACAATAAATCTCTTGGATTCAGTTATGTATGATGACGTCACCTAACCAGCTAATATTTTGTCCAAATTACTAAGCTTTATAATATGGGTTTACCCGGTTATATTATTCGTATTTTAGTATTCTGGTATATCGTACACAGCCGTTCTGTGTCAAATGGGGTAGTACACTTTCTACCAATTTTAATGTTAACAATGGTGTACGACAGGGAAGTGTTCTATCTCCGTTACTTTTTAAATTAATGTGTATATGAAGCAGCTTAGTAGTTAATGTTATGTGGGATAGGATGCAACATAGGAGGGTGCGGATTATATGGTTATTATGAGTCTTTCTACTCGAGATTTTAATCACTAAGGGTGGTATACAACAACGCATTGTGCATTTCAATGGGTTTTGAGGGGGATTGCAGCGCGAGTGGAATGTTTGTAACTCATTCCATTCCCACATTTGGTGCATTGAGACGGAAATTGTGTTATTCATTTCGTTTTCGTGTTCGTATACCAGTCTGTTATTAGTATTTTAATTCGCTCCGAGGCTCATGCTATTTCTAAGATCATTACTAGTTTTCTAAAACGGGGTTGTTTTTAATATTCTACGTAGTGTGTTGTTATGGGATCTGTGATTTGCATTTTATCCTGAAATAATAAAGTACATAATAATAATAATGTGTCTAGAAATTAGATATGTGCTTGTTTAATGACATCACGTGGTCAGTTAATAGTTTCTATAATTATCAGCATCTATATGTGCACTATACCGTTAATTTTAAAAATCGCATTCTTAAAGCGCGGTGGTCGTCGCGCAGCGCATGCTCGAATTTCATGTAAATTAACAATGTATTTTACACGCGTTGTATACGTCGCTATGAGTCTCACATCGAACAGGACGCGGCGCGACGACTGTCGCCCTCAAAGGTAGAGATGCAGGTTCGTGGGCACTTGGGAGTAAAAGTTTTTTTTCTTCCAGCATTTATGACAAAACTATTTGTTCAACTAGCCTGTTCATGAAAACAATATGCTTGCCACACAGAATGATTTGAACTCATAACTATATCATATGCACATCGCCATTGTATGCAGGTACACTCGCTGTTAAAGTACAACACACTGGCCAACTGGCAGCCATTTTGTATATCAATAATTCTTGTTTTTACTTGAAATAACATGAAGTGAATACTAGCTTGGTTACCTTCCCTCATCAATAGTCTGCAAATTTCACCTTGATGTTGCTCAATAAACACGTTAATATATTGCAATGTCACGAAGAATGGGGTAGTCGCACTTTAGTCCCAGTGGCAACTGTCAGTCAGTTTGGGTTTTCGGGGGAGTTTTATTTTTGGTTAATTTAGTCACCCGGACCGCGATTGTCACCAAAAGTTGGCGCCTCGCATAGCCGTATTTAGTTAATACAATAATAATTAATGTTCAAATCCAAGGTCTCCGAGTTCACTGACAAGGCTTGCCAGAACGATATTCTCTCCCAAGCTAATTCAATTGGATTTTGGTTTGCACTGGTTCTGTGTGAAATTACTGTGTTAGCTGCAAGTAATGTCGGTGTACATAACTGGTAAGTTCGAACACTAGTTTTTCATATAAACTGAAACATTTTTGCACAATTTTAAACATCGCACACTACACTCACTGTAACCGCCATTGGTGATTACGTGATTATTATAAGTGTTTTATTTCAGCTGAGACTGAGTTGTTTTTTTAAAAAGCAAGCGTATATCTTCATTATATCGCACTCAAAAACACATAATTGAATTGAGTGACAGAAATGACGTTATAATTTGACTGAGTATGTTTATAAGTGCTCCTCTATCACAACATCACCAAATGTTACTCTTCTGCTCGCTGGCTGTGCCGGATTCAAGTTTTTACTAGTATTTCTTTCCTGGTACACAACTGCCACGCCAATAGTGTGTTGTTTGATGCACATAATCTTCAGAAATGCTCTTCGAAGTCGCACGTTGAAAATGGCATAAATCAGTGGATTCAAACAATAAACCAAGACCAAGTGATTTGTATAAATTATTACAATCACGTCATGGGGAACCTGAAAATTAATAGCGATACCGCGTACCACGGCCATTGGTAGATATCCTCCTATTAACACAACGAAAACAACGAAGACTGTCTTCAACAGTTGGAGTTCGTGAAATGCTATTACACTTGGGTGCACTTGGAGTCTTCCAGTCCCCGTTGCCACTGTCATATTGCATTGGCGAATCCTAAAAGCTATAAGTAAATAGGATGCGAACACAGTCACATTTAGTATCCCGATTAAAATCGCCATTATTGGTTCACGCATAAGGACCACCGAGACGCAATGCAACTTGTTGGTGCTGTATTGTACATTGTCCTTAATAACGATGATTGGAACAACGGCTATCATCCACACTGCTACAATAAGAACAGTCATTGACTTTCTAGTGGTGATACTGTTGTAGAGAGCCTTGTTGGTAACCATCAAACAACGGTGTACGGCGGTGATTGATATGGTCTGGAGTGTCACAAATGTGCACAATGAAAGAATATAAAGTTGAAGTTTACACAACGCCAAACCAAAGATCCACGAACCGGCTAAGTATGCTGTGCAGACAGGTAAGATCGTCACAATGAGTACAAGTAGGTCTGACAGCGACAGGTTAACCACGAGAACGTACCTTAGTGTCCGTAAGTGTTTGTTGTGAAGAAATGCAATTATCACAAAGATATTTCCCACTGTTCCGAAAAGGCCAAAAAGCAACAGAATAGAGGCAGCCGTCCATAAAACACTTTCTTCAGCTGAAATGGAGATTGATGCGTTAATGGAAACGTTGTACATTTTAGCAATGGTTGGAGCCTATATGCAACTATAGACAAAGTGTATGCTGTCAGTGCTGCTAGAACAATGGTCGTACAGGATGAATATAATGCCGTATAATTGCTATATTATAATACTTTATCTCATTTGGGACATATTTAGACAGCATGTGACTGATTATTGAATATATGTCATGCCGAGTGTATGTACACCCTAAGGGTAAAGAGAACTTTGATGCGTCATTGGATTTGTGTTTTCATGGTTTGAAGGCCAGACAATGTTTTTGTTGCCTTAAATTAGAAAACGTAGGATTCGACCACAAGGAGCCTAGATACTAAAAACAATTGTATGCCTAGAATCATACACGGGGTAGAAAGACACGGAATAACTTCAGCGATCTCATATTTGTTGAACTTAAAAAATAAAAGCCAAACACAACAACAGCAACAACAACAAAAAGAAGAAAAATGCCAGCATGGAGAATATAAGCTGATTTGTCATTAATGACGTACGAACGTACATAGATACGTACATGGATACGTCCTAAAGCATGTGGTTAATTTGATGTATAAAGATGTGATTCTGTGTTGAAACAGTCTTTTTAGATGCCCGTGCCAAAATAGTAGTCTTGATAGAACGTGTTTTTTGAAGCTTTGTCTGCGACTGTAACGAACTGATTCGCATAATTGTGGGCCATCGGCAATATGTTCGGAAGTCAACAAAGTCAACAGTTGCATTTAGTGTCTATATAGAGATTTTGTTTGTGACTGTAGACACCTTTGTCATTTAACGTAAATGCATAGCTTTTTGGGCAAATGTGATATTTGATACTTTGGACGACAGTAAAATGTGATGGCGTGAATGTCAACAAGACCTAGGAGGCACTCCTATCGTGTTCACAGACTAACTTGGTAAACAATCGTCAGCAGGGGTTAAAAAAGTCCAAACTGAGCCGACGTTGATATCGGCCGCCATGTTACTTGAATGTGTATTTGCAAAGAAACGAAACTCCAGAGCGAGGCTGATATTAAGGACGACGTTATTGCCATTTGCCATTTCAGGACGTATTAAACTAAATCGGCCTGGCGCCGGCTTATCTTGTTCATACGTGTTTCGACGCCGACTTAACTATAAACCTGGCCTCCAAACCGGCTTTTTGGCACATACGTGAAAACGGTACTAGAGCCCAAACGTCCGTCGTAAATTGGCCCGTGGGAAATAATATCTCTACCTATTGTATTGATAAGTCTTCCTTCCAGATAACCTGGGGTGACATCACATCATATCACTCCAAGCAAACTACGTCTGAGTCAGATCAAATCATTAATATACACGCACTTATGAGGCAAGGTTAATGGATTGCCTATATTATAGTATATAATTTCACAATTACTATGTCATTATTTCAATATTTTATTTTTCATGTTTATATTGTTTCACCATTAATTGAGTCATTAATTATTGCATCATTATTACGTCATGTCTAGGATTTATTCATTATTCTATCATGATATGTTTATATTATTTCACCAATATTAGGTCATTAGACTATCACGGGGGTAATTCTCTCTCTCTGGGTTCTCCACACTTGTCAGGGGGGGGGAATCTCGTCTCGTCTCTCTATCTCGTCCCCTTGAGGTACGGGATCGGGAAAGTCACTTACGCCTTACAGTCAAATAAGACTCACACAACGAAATACGTTTCAGCTTTCGTCTTAGTCGGTCAATCGAGCACTCTACCAGACACAGCGCCCTGGGGAAAAGTCCCCAAGACTATCCAAGGCTGACCCAAGACTCTCTCAGACTGCGTCAACACTCTCCCCAAGGCTCTCCAGGACTGGACCACGACTGCCCAGGACTGGCCTCTCCGACTCTCCAGGACTGCGTCTATCGTGCTGTGCTCCCCAAGACCAACTCAAACTCTCTTTATTCATTTTCACAACTCTAACCAATTACAATGCAGTAAAAAGACTCTAGGGCGTAATCTTCAATCATAAAGCTAATCACACTAAGCACTGAATACGTCATATCTTTTGATTAATCGTTCACTACATTAATAACTATGGATACCAACTGTCAGAATCGCGACGGATATCTCGTAATTAGTTCCAAATCACTGAGCCAAGTTCCGTCCAAAACTTCAAATAGGCCTAAACGATGACAGACATAACACAGCAATTCGCTAATAATCAGTTAATTAAGTCGACCAACAGATAGCAAAAACAAATTCATGACAAGACCTCCGTCAACACTCACTATAATGTATTTTTCTTAGTAGATCCGATGGCCTCTGGCCTTCTGTTTCTTCCTTTGTTTGGGATTTTGACGCGCTTCATTTCTGCAATTTTTCTATACGTATTTATATCACGACTTTTACGTATTTATATAACACAGTAACTTAGATTTCAACCTTCACTTGTTTCTTGTAAACACAACATTTGTAATTGAGACAGTTTTCTGGATTTACTAGTAAGATCGGAAACAGATAAGATTTTGAAAAAAAATCAAAAGTTTATGCAGTTATTAGGGGGTAATTCTTTTCTCTCGGGTTCTCCACACGTGCCAGGGGAGAATCTCGTCTCGTCTCTCTATCGCGTCCCCTTGTGGTACGGGATCGGGGAAGTCACTTAAGCTTTACAGTCAAATAAGACACACACAGCGAAATACGTTTCAACTCTTGTCTTAGTCGATCAGTCGAGCACTCTATAAGACACAACGCCCTGGTGAAAAATCCCCAAGACTATCGCAAGGCTGACCCAAGACTAGCCCAAGACTCTCCAGGACTGGACTGCGTCTGTCGTGCTGTACTCGCCAAGACCAATTAAAACAACTTTATTCATTTTCAAAACAAGGGCGTAACCTTCAATCATAAAGCCAATCACACTAAGTACTGAATACGTCATATCTTTTGATTAATCGTTCACTACATTAATAACTACGAATACCAACTGTCAGAAATAGTAGTCCGAATAGCGACGGTTATCTCGTAATTAGTTCCAAATCACTGAGTCGAGTTCCGTCCAGGACCTCGCCTGCCTAAACGATGACAGACATAACACAGCCATTCGCTAATAATCAGCTAAATAAGTCGATTAACAGATACGCGAAAACAATTTCATCATACAGTATTCAAAGAGGGGAAGGGTACAAGTTCTCGGAAGAGCTACAACATGAAACATGTTCATTCACCAAGAGTTTTACTTGCATGGTTATTATCATTTAGTGTGTGATTCACTTTCTGTTCAGTTGATTTGTTTAGTATTGGTATTATTTTGAATGTGCGGTACATTGTAAATATAACTGCCAGATTTTTTTCAATTCGAGATGAAGTACACGTGGAGTACGAATCAATCCAAAATATATTGCATACTATAATGGAAAGAAGTACAGCGCACTGTTGTGTCAATTTAAATTGCATAGTAAAACATATAGAATCTCAGTACTTCTGCTTTTTTCACAAGCGTGCGATTTTCAGAGCCCATTACAAAGCTAAATACACCATGATCCCGTGACCAATCCAGTGTATACTACTCTGTCATCAGTAGTTCCTGGTCTTTAGCACGACGAAAAATTACCCGGATTTCCGTTGTCTGCGTTTACCAATTGAAGTAGAAGCAATTAGCGCAAAGCTTATTCACATAACAGTGGCGGCGGCAAGGGGGCGGAGAAAAATGTTGCGTGTGTGTGTGTGTGTGTGTGGGGGGGGTCCGCCCTCTAAAATCAAGCTTAAACCCTTTGTGTCAGCAAAATTTGCCCCTCAAAATGCAGGAAATAGCGTTTCAGAGGGTCTATATTTAAAAATACGGGGGAGCATGCCCGGGCCCCTGAACCCTTAGTAAGGTCGCGCCTTCTGCGCAAAGGTTGGTGAGCAGATCTCGCCCCAATGTTAAATTTCGTGCCGTCGCCTCTGATTAATTAGCAGTTGTCGCAAATTTAGTTACAGTAGTCGCCATTTACCGTATATGATTTGTAACAACCTATAGTGCATGTGTTGCAGACATGGTTTTTTAATTCTCTAGTTGACGGACGACATTTTATTTCCAAGTTGTCCAAGTAGACCGATGACGCACATTGCAAGTTTACGCAGACGTATTTTCTAGTAGATGACGAAACTTGCACTTTCCATTTTCCAAGCTGACGCAGACGCATTTTTTATGACGAGTCAACACGTCTAAACCATACCAAACGACCAAGATTTGAAACCAAAAATTGTCATTCCAGCTCAGTAGCCGATCAGCGACGAGCTTACAGTTAGATGACAATTTCGGTTTCAAATACCCCGGGAAAGTGTTCTATGTTCTTCGTGTAATTAGGTGTTCGTATTTAAGGGATTTTTCCACACAAAAACGACAAATTCGGCCGAATTTTCTTATCGGTTGGCTTAATATTACCCCCAACGGATCGTATTTTTGTGAAAGATTGGCATTTTTGTCCCGATTTGTAGGAATCTGAAAAACGCGTTTCACAACTTGTCTCTTATTTAGTTTATGCCGCATTCAAGATGGCGGCCCCCATATAGTAAATATCGCATTTATTTTTTTTATCACTCGTGCGCCAGCTGACAGTGAGTGAAGGGAGTGCGTTCAGATCGCAGCTTTAAGACACGTCACCTTGGCGTGCTGCTTGCTTGATCCCTTTAGTTGTGATATGTGATAGAGGGCGTCATGAACAGTTTTTTGACGGTCCCTGCTAGCATAACCGGGGAAGCTTAGGGGCGCTGGCTAATGACAAAATCATTTAAAGTTACACAGTTACTTTTTTTCAAACTTTCAAACAAAGCGTGTTTTTAAAATAAATGCATTTCGCATGAGGGAATTGTTTATAGTTTCCGGAAAGTTACTTTTCACTCGTCGCCCAAAGACAAAAAAGGCAAATTATAAGAGCGCGCTCATCACTAATAAATCATTACAACGATATTATGATATCAAGCAGCCAGGTACGTAATACACATTATTGAGATTCATCATATACTGTGCTTGTATTGTAAGTTGTAGTTGTCGGTTATAGCGCCCTCTACGTCAA